GTGGAAATTGTTTTTGGGGAATTAGATAAGCGTAAAGAATGGTTGAATGATTTTGGAAATCATTTCTTTGAAAAGAGTTCAATCGATGTCAACAAAAACGTTTTTATCTCATGATTAGAACCAACTCACTACTAGATTTTTGTGATTGTGAGCATGCTTTTGCTTCGGTGAATCTTTTTGATCACTCACTTTCATCTGACTAACAACATCTATCTGTTCACCAAGGTCGCTGTTTTGCTGTGATCAGAAATGACTTTATCTCATTACTTCCTTGAATGTGTCATTATGAAGGTGAATAAAATAAACTAACTTAAACGAGTACGAGAGCTGCCTGTTTGTGGTGTTCCATCTCCACCACGACCCCATGAGGTCCATGTGAATACGATGCCTCCACGGCCTGTCTGGCCATCTCCACTCCTCACCGGTGGTATACGGCGTCCACCTGAAATCAGTCAGTGCCTCTTTCTGAAAGACCATTGTAAAAAAATTTGAAATATTTTATCAAGAGATTGTTGTGTAATTAACGTTCTAATGATTTGCATCAAATCGTATGCAACCGATGGTCTTTGGAATGGATATTGTATAGCCTATGACCTTCTCAGCTTCATCTCTTCAATGATTTCGTGAAAACAGTCTGAGTATCTATCACGATGAGAATTGTATTCGTTCATAAGGAAGTGTAAGTGTTATGTTCAGCGATCATTCCGGCATAGCTGTGAAGGCGACATGAACACGTTTACCGGATCGTGTTGGCGCTTTAGTTGTTGAAGGCGGACTGGCATCGTGTGGATCTTCCGGTGAAGGACGACGAGTTGGGCTTTGCGGTTTGTCGGATTTAGTGTGACCATCATCCTCTGGCGGCTTTTCAGTTGCACCTGAATTCCAGTCTCTTTTATTTTAGATTCGTGATCAGTTATCGTTTCTGAGCTTGATTGCGATGCTCATAGGTGACTTTAATGTTATGGTCACCCCCATTGACATCATAGAGTTTCAGAATTTTCTGTAGGATGGCCATAGGGAAGTTTGCGATCAGAGCGCTGCTGTTCCACTTTCTGATGGTTCTGCACGATTACAGGAGAGTATTTATTTATGTGAGGCATTTTCAAGAAATGGTCGTGCACCTGGTGTAGTTGATGGAATCAGCGGTGTACTTGTAGGCTCGTCATCGCTCGATGGCGTATCGTCCTCAAGTTCCAGATCAGTTCCTTCGACTGGGGCTCCTTCAATTGGCTCATAAGAATGGTCGATGCAAAACAAGATTATCACAAATTCTACTTCATCTCAGGATTTCGCTCTTGAAGATCAACGCTACAATCAGCATTTGAAGTCACTAAAACAGCGTGCACCCATCAGAAACCCAGCTCAAAGTACACATATTAAAAAGAAGTAGGAAGGAGTTTTATTGAAAGTAAACAGAATATAGCATATGTCAAATGCTGTTCGTAAACTCATTTACTTCACGCTAATTAATTTCTCTCTGCTTGGTAAACGGATGAATGATCGAGCAATTGTGACTCACTTCAGAGTGCATTCATTCAACTAACTGTTAATGAGAGAAACTGTTTCATTAAATGAGAATACTACCGTAAATATCCTGAATTTTCTCGATGTCTTCGGAATCCAGTTTCGGCACGACGTAATTACCGTACTCATCGATTGCACTCTGATAAAACGGTGCCATAACAGAGCGTTGATTACGCGAATGATCCAATCCAAGCGTGTGTCCAATTTCATGAACCGCAACAGTCAGTATATCCGTGAACTGATTTCTGCAATAAGCAAACGCATTCACGTTCTTGCGTCCCACAGTCATATCGTAACTTAGAAACACCCGAAAGTTTAATAATTTATGGAAAAACTATTAGAATATTATCATTGCACTTAGTGAAAGGATTAAAATGTGAGCCGCTGTGTGCTGATCAATCATATATACATGATTAAACGAGCACAGATTTACTTCAAACATTCAAAGGTATTGTAAAAAGCATCGAATGATGTGCTTGAGTACTACATCGAGTTCTCAGGAATGAAACGAAAATGCTCATTTGGACTTGAGTAGGCATTTAGTCGACGGAGTGATGCTATCATCACAGATGCGAATGAACGAAACAAACCCGTAATAGAGTTTTTCCGGATCCATATAAACCCAGTTCTCATCTTCATCAAAATGCAACAGTCCATTTGTGGGCATTGTTGCGTGTGCGAGAACGCCACCTATTCAATCAATCCAATTTTACACTTGAATGCTAATATCTAATCAAAAACGAAAAAAGCAATCAAAAATATTTACATCCAAAGGAAGTTTAAAGTATATCTTACAAGTTGATAGCATGAAGAAATTTTGCTTATTTTCTTCCAGTTTGACAACCTTTACAAAGTTTTTCAAGAAGAATCAAGAGTAGTGATAATAATAGTAACAACAACAACAACAGAAACCGTGTCCATCGAATGGCCATGGATCGCCATGTGAATGATTCGCAAATTTGATCTTAATGTTACCCCCTTGAGGTACTTCTTTAAAGGTTAGCGGTGTGACAGCAGACCACACTTTGAATGCTTTACGAATAGCTTCTCTGAAACAACAATGGCAAATGTATCAGTCACCAATAACTCTCTATGAACTATAACAGATAATTGGATAACAGATATAAGCCGGATCATAGCCTGGCTCAGGCTCACAACATTAATGATATTNTTCGTCAAATTCATCTCTTGCAAAAATTATCTGACAAATTTTTGCATTATTGTGGAATCATCACCCATTTCGCCGAAAATCAAAACGAAACAATTGATTCATCTCAAAAAAAGTATTTGATTAAGAGATATTCTCATCTCATTTCAAACAATTAATCTTCTCTTAAAACAGTTGTTCCCTAATGATGAATTTAAAACTGGCAAACAGACTTTATTTTTTGTTGTGGTAAATCTGGTGTGAATGATAGAAATGAATAGGTGAGAGCATGTTTCGGCCATTGATATGATCCTGAAAGTAGACAGTTCGTTTGAAATTTTCGAGTTAAAAAGTTACATCACTTATGACTACATTTATGCATTTCGGGATAAACAAGCATCAAATTGCATTCACTGTATCAGTGAGAAGTGTTCGAATTCTGTTTGTTCAATACTGATCTGTAGATCGATGATCAACTCGACATTCACTTGTTGAAGTGTTAAATACTGACCAGCGACTCTAAACGATAAAACATCAGCCACACCACATCTCGGATAAGTCATTTTCGTAGCCGTTTCCTCATCAATTTCACCAGTCTGTGGCAAGCCAGCGAAACTTTGAAAACTCCTTAACAAAACATATCATGAACTAAACTAGTGTGAGAATTCCATTGGATGTTGACGGAAAACGTTGTGAAATAATTTTCAAAGTGTTATACGTGGACTGGCTGACACTTTTACTCGTGTAAAACCACGATAAATCCTACTAATTATACAGTTTGAGTTGTCAACAAGAAATAAGATTGTACAAGTATTTGATCTGGATGCAGTATGCGATGTTACTCATACGCATGAAACTGCAAAGGTCTCAAACAACACTGCTCTATGCATAAATTCTGGGAGAAACTACAGAGATGGATTTTGGTTTTAGATTTTAGTACCGTTTTAGTTTTCTATGAATGTGTCAGTAGAAAATAAAGAGGCAACGAACGCACATTATTCCTTTGCGGAGAACCTCTCTGAGGTCTTCACGATTTTCTGCTCGGGAGCGACCAAGCACATTCGCTCCAAGCACATTGCTCGGAGCGATATGACCATATTTTTGAAGGTAATTCTGCAAGAACGTAATTCTCTGCATTTGATGGATACGCGCATTGAAATGACATTGTCAAAAGCAACAGCTCCAGCAGATTGTATAAAAACTAATCAGCATGAAAATTTCTTATTAAAAAAGGCTTTAGAAAATGAAACAAATAACCTTTGCGTCTTCGGGTGATAGAGGATCGAGATGACGATGTTCTTCTTCACGCAGTTCCGATACTTCAGGATGTTGCAAGGCGAGCTGATGACGACGAGGCAATGTCAATGATAAGGGTACCGCAATCACTACATTTACTATTATTGCCCACAAATAACAGTTCATTTCTAAAAAAAAGTGCCATTTTGAGAAACCAACCCATTCAACATTTGACATTTTCAAAAGCCATGAACAGAACTTCATTCAAGAACTCACGAATAATAATAATACTTGACTAATGAGTTCTATCAATGAAACTGTTCTAAAAACGATGAGTTTCGGGAATCATCAACTTCGATACGTGAAGATCAGAAAAAAACAATCGCTACTGATTAAATTATGTGGAAAAAGGGAATATTTTACAGAGAATTTACAAGAAAACAG